GGGATGCCTTTGATCTTTACATAAGATAAGTCTTGTTCATTTAGTTTTAAATCTTTGATATAGATTGGTGGATTGATGGACAGGAAAAGGCAAAAGTAAACATCAAGCATTATTACACAGTATTTTTGTTATTTTTCATTATTTATTAAATATTTACCAAATGTGAAACACATTAAATGCGTACAATAGACAAGATCGAAGGATGCCACTCCATAAACTATAGGATTGACACAAATTAACACCTGTTGATCACACCTAAGAACGAAGGTTACCATATCCCCCATGAGACCATTAACACACTAAAAATAATAGCAGAAAAAAATGTGTTGCCATTTATTTTACAAGCAAATACTGACAATGTGCAAGCAAAATACTGACAATGTGCAAGCATTGGTGATAAAAAACAATTGTTTTTCACTATGGGGTTTTTTTCCTAAGGGGTTTTCTTTCCGGACCCCTAACGTAACATGGGGCGATTTTTTTTATTATCAGTGGGACTGATATAATGCGACTTAACATAACATGGGACGATTTTTTAATTATCAGTGGACCGTTGTTTGCTGACGGTCGTTTTTAGAGACGAAAATAACAATTAACATTTTGTATAACTACTAGTATTTTCAATTTTCACAAGACAATTTTTTTTTTATTTTCAGGTCCCACTTTGTTTTATTCTGATGTCCGGAAAGAGCAAGAAAGATTACATCAGTGTGTTACATGGCGTAAAGCAACTACTTCCAGAGGCCATCGCTCTTAGCGAGTGCATGGTAGATTTCGAAGAAGCGATGTGGAAAGCAATTCGAGATGTTTATCCTGCTGTGAACATTAAAGGGTGTGCGTTCCATTGGAAGCAGGCAGTCTGGCGACACAACCAGTCTACTGGCTTGCAAATAGCCTACATGGAGGATGAAGCAACATTCAAGCTGCTTCGTAAAGTGATGTCCCTCCCGTGTTTGCCAGTGGAAGTTATTCCAGACATGTTTACTAGACTTAGAAGACAGGCAACCACTGGAAGACTTGAGGAGGTATGTATAAAATTTAATAATCAGTACAAAAGCAGTGTAGTGTAGCAGTGCACAAGTTACATTAATAATGGCCAAAATACACAACAATAAAGGCAAACAATAACATATTGCAGTCAACTTGATATATGCCACATTTTTTCTGTTTAGGTGTGGACATCTGTATATAAATTATGGGTTTTTTTTATTTTTATATATTCACAGGTATTTCAGTATATCCAGATGCAGTGGATTGAATCTGCAGTCATGCCACCCTCCACATGATCCTGCTACATGCAAAGTACAAGGACCAACAATGATGCGGAGGGCTGGCATGCACGCCTCAACAGACGTGGTCATCAGAATCTAAATTTTTATTTACTGATACAGTTACTACACCGTGAGGCATCTCTACTATTGACACAGGCTCGCTTGGTACATGTATCTGAAAGCAAATTAAGAAAGAGACAGAAGAAAATATACAGAGTAATGCAAGAACGTATGTTCTTATGGGAGGAGTTTCGTATTGGAGACCGGTCAGCTGGAAAACTGTTAGCAGGAGTAGCAGCGATATATGGGAACCCAGTGATGCATCGATGAAGGCAAAAATAATAAAATACAATGAGAAAAATACTCAATACAGACAAAATTTCGACCATGCTTTTAAACTGAAATAGAAACACAACATTGTATATAATTAATAAAGTATTAGGGCCCGATTTACGCTAATTTATTTTAAATTTCGACCATACTTTTAAATTGAAATAGAAACACAACATTGTATATATGTATATAATTAATATAGTTATTAGGGTCTGATATAACTTAGGTGTCCTGATGTGATTGGAAGTATATTAAAATTTTGCTAAAGCAGTTTTAATTTATTCGCCATAACTATTTT